TGGCAGTAGACTCTGGCAAAGCAGGTACACATCTGGGCTCCCAACGGTGCTGGATGAAGAGAAGGAGGTAGAGATGCCAGCTCCTAGGAGGCCAGCTGGAGAAAAGGGAGCCCTGGAAAGCGGAATGGCAAGAGGACTGTTTACTGTCATGTACAGCTGCCTGGCCCTTCTCCACTGATGCCAGCAAGTCCTTGAGGAGACCCAAGACTGGCAATGGGGAGGAGGTGAGAGGATCTGAGCAGCCCCTACGGAAGGCCTCTCATTAGGCAAACATTTGGTAGCGCACCTCTCCAGAACCACCAAGGAAAAAGAAGGGGGCAGCGGTCCAGAATCGTCCTCTGTGCTGCTGCTCAGGGAGACAAACCCACTCTGAGCTGCCACCACCTTGCCCATGAGCCTAAAACTCAGGCCTCGGCCCTCCCTGGGACTCTCTCAGGTTTGTTCCTTTTCCTCCTTCGGATGCTCCCTGGGTCAGGCTTCTGGACTATCTGAGGCCAGGGCTGCCTATTAGCAGCCCCAAAATCATTTGAGGTGCTAAAAGGTCCCCTCCGACAGAGGCATTAAACAAGTGACCTGCGACATACTCACAAGTTGGGTCCAAATCAGACTGAAATGTCACTGGGAAACGTGGAACAAAATCCATCAAAATACAACAGAGATGTTAACATGTGGTTTTCTAAGTGTGCTAAGTGACCCCATTTCTATTTGAGTTGAACCCCATTCCTCTAGAAGACCTTAAGGACCTCACCCCCACGAGGGGAGGGGGCAGCCCTTCCCCCCATGCTTGAGGGAAAGTTCATGGCAAACCACTCCAGTATCTGCCAAAAAACTTTTCCCTCAAAAGGTATGGAGACATTCCTCTAGCCCTGGTTAGCCAAGGGGTCCAAGAGCTGAGCCTGTTGCCATCATGTTTCCTCATTCCTCGAATACAAAGCAACCCTGAGGAGGGTCACAATGTGTAAAGCAAGCAAGGAAGCTTCACTCAGTTCCACCAAGTCAATTCTCCCTTGGTTAACTGTCCACCTACGCATGTCTTTTTTTTTTTTTTCTTCTCCCCAGTGTCAAACCTAAAGTATCAGGGGACTGGCCTAAGTCAAGTCAAGCCCAGCCCAGAACAGCTGTCTCCTAAGTTCTGGTATGTTATCATCATTCTCTGATGAAATTCTTTGTTCTTGGGTTCAATTTAGCTAATGGCTCATGGATGCTACTGGTGTTTCAGAAACAATAAGAACCATGGACCAGAAAGGGTAAGAGACAGGATCACAGAGCTCGCAGGAACGTTAGAGATGAGAAAGTCGACCAACCTTGTTTGGCAGGAGGAAAGTAAATAAAGCCCGTGAGGAAAAGAATTTACTCCAGGTTACAAAGGTATGAAGTGATGGCAGACTGGAACCCAGGCCCTCTTGCTCCAAAGCTCCTTTGCCTCAAGCTCTTGGATTCTGTATGGAGCCTCATCGGAGTCATCAGCCATCTCAAACGACTACTGGCTTATTTCCTCATGTACTTTCTGCCCCCTCCTCGAAGGGCTACTGAAGTTCAGGTTGACAGAGTTTTATGAGCTCAAGGTTCCAGAGGCCACAGTAGGGTGGGAGCCATGGTTCCGAGAGAGTTCACCCCAAGGGGGCTCAGAGAGAGTTCACTCCACTTTGGCTCAAGAGCGAAACTCTCAGCTCATGGGACAATAACCCTAATCGAAAATCACTTAAATGGCATTTTCCCCTGGCTCTGGCACAGGAAGTAGGTGGCACGGTACAAAGGCTGCCAGCTCCAAGCAGGGCCCATGCAAGGCATCCTTATCTTCCAAGAGTTCAGTAATGTCTCCCCTCCCTCTCCCCCCAAAGGAATTCACCAACGAGATGTGACTCTATCTTTAGGCCGCAGTGACAGAAAAAAAGACACACATAGGTTTCAGAACCAGCTTTAAATAAAGAGGGAGAAATATGACGAGGAAAAATCGGAAAGGAGAAAAGGCCAGATTTTTTTTTTTCTTTGTGGGGGTAGGGGTCTGTGGAATTGGAGGTGGGGGGTGTATATGAGCCGGGAGCCAACAAAGACTTGGTCTCAATGAACTCATTTCTTGGGAAAGTAGAAGGGGCCCCCTCCGTGGCAGCACTGAATAGTCAATCTGGCCCTCCAATCCAACCCTCATCTCTAGGAATGGCATTCCCTTCCCTGAGGCATGTCGCACTCCCTGAGATGACGTGAACCCCTGCCAAGCCAGCCCCATTCTCTGGAGCAAAGCCAGAAGGGGGCATTGAGGGCTCTCTTGCCCTGAAGCACCAGCTCAGAGAGGTAGTGAAAAAGAGTTGGAGTCCAGTTCATTCCCCCCAACACTCAAGGATTCAAGTGTCCCCCACCGTTCTCCCCGTGTTCTCCGTCTCCTGACCCCCACAGCCCAGTGGCTTCACTGGTACTGTCCGTAGCCTGGGTAACTGGGGGGCGGGGCAGAACCTTCCTTGGGGGGCAGCTGGCCAGGATCTTCTATGAAGGGGGGTGCTGGAAAAAGAGACAAGAGAAAAGAGGGGAGAATGGTAGAGATAAGGCCTAGGAAAAGGGAAAGAGTGAAGAGAAATCCAGGAGACAGAAAATGGAGGACAAGGACAAAAGAAGATGAAGATGGGTAGGACCAAAGGAAGAGAGACAAGGGAGACAGAGGAGGGTAGGAGGGAGTGACAAAAGAATGAGAAAGGGCGGACCCAGGAGAAACCAAAGCGAGACTTTGGGAAGATGGTTAGATAAAAGACAATGGCAGAGGAGCCCCAGCAAAGAGAGGAAGGAGACTGAAGGGGGTGGTGCGAGGTCCCCTCAGCATGCCTCAAGAGAGTGACTCACTGTTCCGGAACTGCTGAGCTGTGTAGCGGGTGAGGAGGATGCCCACGCCTTCGATCAGGGCCAGCAGGATCCCTCCCATCATGGCCGATCCCACCATGGCCAGAGGTCCACCTGGACAACAGGAGGGTGACAGGTGAGTGGCCTGATACCTGGAGGGTCTCCAGGGAGCCTCCTGCCCTGCATCTCACAGTAACGGGGTAAAGAGACAAAGAAGGGCTGGGGGTGGGGAGAGAGAGGTCGGTTCAAAAGTCACTCACTGCGAGCTGCCAGCACAGCACCCGTGAGAGCCCCGCTAGTGATGGAATTCCACGGGTCCTCCTTCCCCCGGAGTCGGACGAGTCCACAATCAATGGTAGAAAACAGGCCACCCCAGACAGCAAAGCTACCTGGAGGAGGAGTCCAGGTGGTAAAAGGCAACGGGAGAGGGGCAGCATTTGGAGTCCCCGAGCCTGACTCGGTGGTCAAGCCTGAGGATCTTCCTGGCCAAGCCAACTCTCCCCAAGCACAGACATCTGCCTCCCAGGGTCCCACTGTGGGCACATGCGGCCCGCTCCCCTCCAGACCCCTTACCTCCAATCTGAGGGGCCCGGGTTCTCACCGCACTGACGCTACCCCGAAAGCGGTGCCGGATGCCCTGGGGAGGGAAGGAGGTGAGCTGATGAGGACAAAGGAGAGGAGAGAGACGGAGGGCAGGCAAGGGAACAAGGGCTAGGTTGAGCAGCAGCGAGTGCCGTGCCCCCCCCCCCCCCCATCAAGCTCCTCTTCTGTTTGGGTAGACAGAAGAAAAAACAACCAGGATGTCATGGTAGACGGGCCCTTTGACGTCATTTGCTGGCTTTCCCTCCCAACTCACGGGCATTTCCCAGGAAAGGGGAAACCGAGGCCTAGGGGACTCACTACTGGGGCATTTCGGAAGCCCTTGATAGCCTGGAAAACGCCTCCCCCGATGACTCCCATGGTGAAGGCCCCACCGCAGTCGTCCACAATCCTCCAGGGGCTGCAGAGGCGGGGGGGGGGGGGGGGGGGGTTGGGGGGGGGGGGGGGGCCCCCCCCCCCCGGCCCCCCACCCCGGTGGGCCCCGGGGGGCACCCCCGGCGGGGGGGGGGGGGGCAGGGCACGGAGGGAGCCCCGCTGCCCGGCCCTCAGGGTCAGCCCGGTCCGGCCTGATGACCAGAAGCTCTCAGAGGGTACACAGGCCGGCAGGCGGGCTGGCAGCTACCTAGCCATCCCTCCTGTCCCCCGCCCCCCCCCCCAGGAGAATCGTCCATCGCAGTCATGGGGGAGCAGGAGAGACCTAGCGTCCAGAGGCGGGGCAGCCGCGATAGCTCCCCCTACCCGCCTGTAATGGAAAAGTCTACAGCGGGCTAGGACCAAGCCTGGGAGAGACCAAGTGTGCGGGCGGCGGGGGGGGGGAAAGGGGTGGAGCGATGGGAGGCCAGATTCCCCCTCTCTCGGGGGTTCAAACGTCGGTCCCCGTCTCCGCCTCGCCCTAACCCTAACCCGTACCAGGGCTCACGTGCGTACTCCTCCATGACTCCTTAGTTCAAACGCCTCCGTCAGAATCCGGGATGCCCACTCCAAAGGCGACCGTCCCACCTTGAAGCCTCGCAAGCCGCCCCACTCTACGACTCCTCCCCCTTCCCGCCTCTTTCTGCACTCCACCCCCAGCACCAGGAGAAGGGACGCCGGAGTCGCTGGACGCTTGCGCAATCCACCACCCTCCCCTGTGTACCGAAGGGTTGCCGGGGAAACTGTTCCGCGCGTTTATTGGCTGTTTCTTTCCTTGGCCCCTCCCTAATGTTCCTCTTTGCGTTCACTCATAGGTCGACCTCGGAAATAGAGAAGAAAGAAGTGATTTGCGCGCGCTCTCACAGGCTGCCTGCCAGTCGTAAGTGACACGTGACGTGGAGCGCCGAGTCCTACCAGGAGCGGACGAAACCTTCCAGAAATGAAGGGGAAAAAAAAAAAGGGGGGGGGAACCGCTGCTTGTCATTGGCTGACAAGCGCGCACATGCGCACAACTGGTAGGGCGAGGAGCTGGTTGGACCAGACCTGGAAGGTCCTCTGCTGGCCGCCCAGTAAGCCGGGGTGGGAGTGGGGAAAAGCCCGCGAGAAGGAAGTGACGTCACCGCGGCGGCCAGCCCGGGTGGCTTTCCTCCTAGAACGTCGGCAAGAAGCGCCGGCCGCTCTGTGCCAGCCGCGTTCCGCCGAGTTCCCCGGATCGCCCCGAGCGAACGAACGAACGAACGAACGCCGATCGTAAGGCCTCGCCATGCCGCTCCCCGTGGCCCTGCAGTCCCGCCTGGCCAAGCGCGGCATCCTCAAACACATGGAGCCCGGTGAGGCGGCGGCCCGCGGGGCAGAGGGGTTGGGGGGCAGAGGGCACGGGCAGCCCCCGGCCTGACTTCCAACCGGCTCCCTGCAGAGCCAGAGGAAGAGATCATCGCCGAGGACTATGACGATGACCCCGTGGACTACGAGGGCACCAGGATCGAGGGCCTGCCGCCCAACTGGTACAAGGTGTTCGACCCAGTCTGGTGAGCCCCACCGCGGGACAGAGGAGGCGTCCATAGGGGCTTGCTCCCCGGGCAGTTGGGTGGGGGGCCCTTGCAAGGGGCTTTGGGGAGCGTGCCCCTGGATCCGCAGGCCTTACCTTCGAGGCTCTCTTGTGCAATCTCTCAGTGGTCTTCCTTACTATTGGAATGTGGAGACAGACCTCGTGTCCTGGCTGAACCCCCACGATCCCAGCTCCGTCATCACCAAGGCAGCCAAGAAACTCAGAAGCAACTTGGGTAAGCCCCTTGCCCCTCCCCAGGCCCAGCATTTGGTCATTCTGTAAAGTCAAGTCTCACAGAGACAACGTTTGCTCTTTTGGAGAAGCCCCTCCCCTTCCCCTTCTTGTTCCGATCCTCTGCTTTACCTGGTTTCTATGCCTTAGATCCAGAAGATAAGCTGGACCGTGGCTACGAAAAGCTGGAAAGGGAGGAGATGAAGGAACGACGTTACCACCGAAGGGAAGAGTTGGCCCCCTACCCCAAGGGCAAGAAAGGTAGGTGGCAGTGCGAGTGCAGCCAGTGGACAGAACCCTCCCCAGGCCCCCAACACTACAGCTCTGTATGGATTCACTCAGCCCTGTTCTAGTGCTGCCTGGCCTTCTCAGATTAAGCCAGCATTTACTGGGTTTATCGTGCCAGGCTTTGGACGGGGAAAGACAAAACCCCAAAGGGCCTCTCTTCTCAAGTTGCTCGTAATCTGCTGCGATGATAGGACACATAGAGACAATGATCAGAGAAGGGTCGAGGGATCATTTTAACACCTGCTGATGGACGGTAATTTCACAGAGAAGACAGCACATGAGCCAAGCCACAGAAGCGGGCTGAGAGACTGGAGTAAGCAGGGGAGGGCATGCCAGAATCAGGGAAGATAGCGTCTGCAAAGGAATAGGAAGCACAATTTAAGGAACACAGTCTACAAAAAAGAACGTGGGGTTCTATGAGGCACATAGTGGAGGATCTTTAAGGCCAGGCTGAGGAGTTCGGTTCGTTCTAGAGCTAGTAAGAGTCCAGAAGATTTCTGAGAAAGGAAAGCGACATGGTGAAACCTGAACCTTAGGAAAATTATTTTAATGAAAAAAGGATTAGAGGGGGGGAGTCTGGGAAACCGGGCTGTCAGTTAGAATCTATTACAATAGACTAGTCCACAGGCGATCTGAGGTAGGGCGGTTGTGCTAAGTAGGAAATAGGGCAGAGACTGGGCAGCTGATCGGACGTGTGAAAGAAAGGTGGAGGAGGCTGCCTCCCATACCTAGAAGGCTGCCATTGACAGGACAGGTCTGAGGAGGGGAATGTTTACTTCCCTCTTGGCCATTTTGAGTTGGAAATGTCCTGCAAGCAATTGGAGGTGCGGGCCTAAAGCTCAGGGAGTGATTCTGGGTTTGTAGATTTGGGAGTCATCTGCACAGAGATGACTGAAACCACCAGCAGGAGCTGCTGTATTCAGAGATAGGAGAAGACTACTGCCAGCCTCTCGAGTTGCTCAGCTTCACAACTTCTATCTGTGAACACACCTCCACTTAACAGAGCGTAAGCTCCTTAAAAGCATACGGTAAAACCTTAACAAATGGTTCATTGTCCTGAACGGAAAAAGGGAAATTCATTTGAGGTGGCCAGGGACATCCGTGTTTCTTTTAGTAGTTTCTAGAACATGAACACACACACACACACACGCGCCCACCTCGAACCCCCTGTGGAATAGTCAGAAGTAGCTCTTTCTGGGCCTTAGTTTCCCCGTTTGAAATGATGGGGTTGAACTAGGTGGTCTCTTAAGGGCCCTTTCCATCAGTAACATGTCACAAATGGGTACTAGCATCTTTACTCTCTCCACAGCCAGCCGGAAGGATGAAGAGTTGGATCCTATGGACCCCAGTGCCTATTCTGATGCCCCTCGGTGAGTACCTCTGGAGGCCCAACAGGGTCCAAGGTTTGGAGTCTTAGGCTTTCTGTGTGCTGGCATATTCTCCCATCAAATGGATCATGGGATGGAGGGGGGAGAACAAGACTGGTTATCTCTTTTGCTACCAGTTTCCACCCTATTGATTCCTCTCATCCCCAGAGGTACATGGTCTACAGGTCTCCCCAAGCGAAACGAGGCAAAGACAGGGGCTGACACGACAGCAGCCGGGCCCCTGTTCCAGCAACGGCCATACCCCTCCCCAGGGGCAGTGCTTCGGGCCAATGCTGAGGCCTCACGGGCCAAACAGCAAGACTGAGACTGAGCCCGAGCCCACCCTCTCTTCCAGACCTCTCCAACCCTTGTGTTCAAATAAAGTGTTTTCCTTTCAACTTTTGTCATTGGAACTCCTGGGGGAGGGGGGCACAGAGGAAGAAGCTGTTACAAATTTATTTTCAGAGGAAATATTCCCTACAGAACTTGGCTCCATCGATACTTTGTAGAAGTCTCAGCCAATGAACGGGAGAGGACCAGAGGTCAGTAGTGTTAACCTAGGGAGTTAGAGGGGAAGACCTTGAATCCCCCCAGCCCAAACTTCGAAAAGCAGAGGGATGGGGGGAGGGAAGAAAATGTTTAACGCCTTAATACTGAAGAAGCTGCCTCCAGTTCCACAGGGAAGCCACAGGACCAGGGGATCCTCAGAGCAGACATGGGAGGTGCTGGGAATCTTCGGTCCCCCAATCAGACAAGGGGGTGGCTACGACCCCTTCTCCTTGGCCAGCAGCCTGCAGGGGAAAGAGAGAGAGAGCCCAGGTGGCTTTCTTTCAGATGTTGCCATGAACCTCCTTGGGTTGGAGGGTCAGGGGAATTAGAAAAGGTCCCACTGCCTTTTCTGTAGATAAACCCCAGTGTTAATTGGGTTAAATACAGCAAGGTCCCATCTCCCCCTACTTAGTAAGTTGCACGTCAACTACATAAATAGAATTTCTTTATTTTGGCATTTGTACACTTGACCCTGGCCAATTGGTCATTTTCCTGTCTTACAAAAATTAGGACTGATAACCATCACCACCACCGCCACCCTCTCTCCCCAAAAAGCCTGGCAACAAGCAGCAACTCTCAAGTCCTCTGTATAGTGGGAGCCTTTGGGGAAAGGGTGGGTTAAAGGGTTAATCAAAGTGGGGGGGGGGGATGAGACCTCTTTCTGAGCCAGGATTGTATGTCTTTATACAATCTGAAGCTTCATCTCATTCTCCCCCCTCCCCAAACCAATAATCTTCTTTGGTCTCAGATTCAGACTTGATTCTTTTCCTTTCTTGTCTCTCAAACTCCTCCTTACCCTGACTTCTCCAGTTCATGTTCTGACTGAATGTCTCCCCATAATCCAATGCTCATTGCCCGTCTGGCCCAGTACCCCTGCTCAGTCTTATTCCACCACCCGTCCCCAACACCATAGGGTAACCAGTGGGACACTCCTTCTGGATCAATTCCTCTGGGAATTGGAGGGGAGGTGGGGAGCCAGACAGATCCAATTCCTGCCCCTCCCCTAGAAGCTGGCCCTGGATGGAAGGAGGTGGAAGGGCTAAACCATTCTTCCTTTGCTGGGAGGCATCAAATGCTGGGAAAAGGGAAATGGGGAGCTGTTTCCCTGATTTGCCGGGACTGGTTGGAGCCTGAGATGAGACTGGTATAGAGATACAGGAGAAAGGCTTTATATGATGGGAGAAGAAGGGTAGGAAGCAGTTCCATGGAATTGCAGGAGATAAAGACACTGAGTAAGAGGAAATGTGTGCTGGAAAGCATATCCTGATGCCCCCTCTCAAATGGTACAGACCCTGGTGGAAATGGGTCAAAGTGAGGGCATCAAATGCTGAGAAAGGGAAATGGGAAACTGACCCCAGAGAACTGGGTAAGGCCCCTAGGAAGGGGCCCATGATCTGGAAAAATGAGTGAGATGTGTCAAAATAAGAGGAAAGGGAAGAAGAGTGAGCAGCGTGACTTTACCCCAACTAAGAACTTGGAACATCTTTTAAAAACAGCGTCTATATTGACCCCTGTGGAGGGGTCAGCAAAAGTCAGAGTACCCCATGAGACCTTGGGGCAAGGGAGGCAGGGAGGGAGATGGGCACACGCTGTATGTGTGTGTGTGTGTGTGTGTGTGTGTGTGTGTGTGTGTGTTGGGGGGGGTGTGGGCGGGGCAGTGGAGAACCGAGGGGAAGGGGTTGGGAGATCTGGACTCCCTGGCGTTTCCCCAAACTCCAGCTCTGCTCCCAGACGTCACTTCCCCAGTACTGACTTGGGCAGGAAGGGCTCCTCCTCGGGGTCCGCATGGCGGCCACTGGCCAGCGGTGCTGTGTTCTGAGGGGGAGGGGTGACCGCGGCAGCAGTTCGGGGCAGGCTGTAGAGGTAGACGGCCCCGATGACCAGACCAGCCCCAAGTGCAAAGAGTGGATCCACCTGGAAGCCAAACAAGCGGACGGAGGCTGCTGTGGAAACGACAATGGAGAGGGAGGTGGCGAAGCCTTTGAGGATGTTGTCCGCGTATTTGACCACCACAGCCACGAGCAGGCCACCGAAGGCCTGGTTCAGCACCACCCCCCACACGGCTGGCGTGTAGCCAAAAAAGAAGCCTTGACTGGCCACGGCCCCACCCTCTGCCCACCACAGCCCTGCCAGGCCCAGCAAAGTCCCAAAGAGGCCCAGCTGTACATTCCTCAGCCACACCGACCCTGAACTACCCTTCAGGATCTTCTCAAAGTAAACGCCAGCAAAGCCTGATGACAGGCATGAAGCCACCACAGCTGCCAGCCCCACGCCAGGGTTCTGGCCCCCTGGGCGTGGTGACCCATTGCTACCACCTGCCTGCTGGACCTGGACGAGGGCCACACCCAGGAAGAGCAGGAGCAGGGAGGCCCACTGCAGGCGGGACAGGCTCCGGCGGAGCATGAGGACTGAGAACAGGGCTGTGGTAAGGATTTTCAGCTGGTATGTGACCTGTGGAAGTGGAGGTAGAAGGCAGGGTCTGAGGGACAAGGATGCCCATGGAGGAAAAAGTAGGTCCACCCTATCTCTTTCCCCCACACCTTGCCTTGCCTTGCCTTGCCTTGCCTAGCCTAGCCTGACCTGGCCTGGCCTGGCCCAGCTTCCTCCTTTTCTTCTTCCTTTCCCCGCTCCCCTTCTTCCTCCACCCCTTAACTGACCTGGAAGGTGGCAGCTGGCAGATTGGAGATGGCCACATACTGCAGATTGTTTTGGAGAGTATAGATGAGGGAGGGCACTGCCAGCTTCAACGTGTCCACGTACTGGACCAGGACAGCTTCGTGGAGGAACAGCACAAAATGTTTCACGTTCCCTGCACCGGGAGGACGAGAAGAAAGGCGGCCTGACTCTTAAGCCCGTCGGCTCTGATCCCGCGCCTGCCCACCCCCCTGTGTGATCTCGCCAGCTCCGTACCCCTCTTCTGTGCGAACAGCAGCAGCAGACAGGTAGCTCCCTTCAGCACTTCAGCCATGACCACGGCGGTGGTGGCGAAGAAGCGATCCCCGGGCAGGGTCCGAGCGTACCGGATGCTCAGGATCAGAGACGCGTTCTGCACCACCAGCACCGCCAGCGATGCCTGCTTCAACCACCGGTGCTGACCTGCAGGGGAGCCCGGGGCAGAGGCCCGCATCAGAGCCTCTCCTCGCCCTCCTGGCGAGGACGCCGGTGCGTCCCCCCTCTCTCGTCAGAAGGCCACCCTGGGCACTCACGGGTGCCAAAGGAGACGGGGCCGACCGCCTTGGGGAGACGGCGGGGGCACCCCGAACCCGAGGAAGAGGTACACGTACGCGTTCGGACCCACGGCCAGACACGCGTGCGGCCGGGTCCCCCCCCCCCCCCCCCCCCCCCCCCCCCCCCCCCCCCCCGCCCCCGCCGCCCCCCCCCCCCCCTTACTTGCGCTGGGCAGCCCAGGTTGGTGGTGCCCCCCCGGCGGCCCGACGGTTCCAGCCGCTGCCCCTGCCGCCGCGTCCCCTCCGCCCGCGCCCGCCGCTGCCATGTTGGCACCTGCCCGGGTCCGTCCCCTCGGCAACGGCCCGGGCCGCCGTTTCCTTCCGCAGGCTCCGTCATTTCCGCTTCCGAGAACCGAGGGGCCTCATTGGCTGCGCCCGCTCGGGGACCCGCCCTTCCCCGCCCCGTGTGCCGCCGCCAGCCCCGCTCTCCCCCGCCTCCGCCCTGCTCGGGCTCCTCGCATCCTCATTGGCTGGCCACCACCCAGGAGCCCTCCCCTCGGCTTCCTCGCCCCGCCCCGGCTCCAGCCTTAGGGGAACCGCAGTGAGCAGGTTGGTTGGGGTCGGGAGCCCCGAAAGCCGCAGCGGGAAGGCCCCGATTCCAGTCCCGGGGACCCCCCTCTAGGAGAGATCGATGCCACAGCCTAGGCCAGGCCTGGGGTTGCAAGGGCCTCCTAGGGCTCGTTTTAATGTTACACACAGGTTCGAGGGGCTGAGAGCCTGCTGGCCACCGGCCGCCCTCCCTTCCCCCTCCCGGCGTCCTCTGGTCCAGCCGTGACCAATTGTCCGAAGTGTTGGCACAGCCTCGGGAAGCAGCGGCCGCCTTCACGGGAGGAAGGTGAAGAAGTCAGACTCGTTGGGCAATCATCGACACAGGCCCTCTGGCTGGGCAGGGGCAGGGGCAGGGGCAGCTGCTTCAAGGAAATGTCTGTGTTTGAAGAAGCCAGGAGGAAGAGAGCCTTAAGCTCCCAGCCTTCTTTTCCACCCCAACCTCGGGATCTCTAAACAACATATGAAGGAAAGGGGGAATGGGGGGGAGGGGGGAGGGGTCTAGTGTCTGAAAAAGTCCCCATCCATCCCTGAGAGCAAGAGGAGAACGGGGAATGGACTAGTAGGTCCCTTGGGTGAGGTCCGGAGAAGCATCTCTGAACAACCTGTAAAACCAGGTCAACAGTGCAGCCTCAAAAGACTGGTCCCGTTTGGGGGACCCCGAGTATACAGGCTCTGTTCCTCCTCCACCACTGTTAGAAAGCCGGCCACTCTGGGGTACTGGCATCACAGGAGACCGTGGCATCACCAGAGAGAGGAGGCAGGATTTCCGAAGTAAGTGCTAAGTGCTCCTCCCCATCCTGCATCCAGGGGTCTCGAAGAATCTGCTCCAGTGAGGGCCGGTTGGCAGGGTCAGGGGCCAGGCAACGTCGGATCAGGGCCTCACAACCTGCAGAATGGGGCAGGAAGTCTGTGGCCCAGAGGGGAAGGAAAGGGCAGGGGAGGGAGGGGGCATGGGAGTAATCCCAGGAACTGGACCTTACCTGGGGACACGTGGCAGTGGAAGCGGAGCCGAGCACCTAGGATCTCCCGGTCATGCTCAAAGGGGATGTCGCCACAGGCCATGTCATAAAGGAGGATGCCTAGGGACCACACAGTGGCGGGTAACGCATGGTACTGCTGCTGAGAGATCCATTCTGGTGGGCTATACACCCTTGTTCCTACAAAGCCAGAAGGTCCGGGGACCCATGTTTGAGACTCACCAGGCACTAGGCTGCCCTGTCCCCTTTTGTTCATCCCCTCCAGCAATCCGCAAACACCACCGGCCTGGGCTCTCACCATCAAAGTCAGTGTAGGGCTCATCCCGGAGCAGGGCGCCAGAGCCGAAATCAATGAGCTTCACTTCACCCCGCCTCAAGTCCACTAGGATGTTCTCATCCTTGATGTCTCGGTGGACTACACCTCGGGCATGGCAGTGGCGCACAGCAGCTACCACCTGGCTGAAGAAGTGGCGGCAGCGGCTGTCTCCCAGGGGTCCCCGCTCGGTGATATAATCAAACAAATCCTGGCCATGCTCTGGTCGCTCAAGCACCAGCAGGAAGCTCTCGGGGGTCTCAAACCAATCCAGCAGTCGGATCACACCCCGATGACCACCCCCAGCCCCGACCTTCCTCAGCAGGGCCACCTCCAGGGGGCACGGGCCTGAGTCAGACTGCAGGAAGGCAGAAAGTGCAGGGAAGAGCTGCATCACTCGGACTCTCACGTGGCCCAGAGGAGCCTCCGAAAACCTCCCTCCCCTAGGTGCATGTATAAGAGGGGTGCAGACCTGTCTCCTGCCTGAGAGACAGTTGGGGACAGCAGGAGGAAAAGCCCCAAATTTAGCCTCAGACTCTTGACACTCACTAGCTGTGTGATCCTGGGCAAGTCACTTAACCCCGATTGCCTCACAAAAAAAAAAAAATAAAATAAAGACTGGGTTGAAATTTCAGCTCTGCCACTTTCTATCTGTGGGACCACGGGCCACTCAGTTCTCTTCAAGTCTGAGGGTTCTCGATCTCATTATCGCCCACTCCCCCACTGCCACCCAGCAGCACAAGAGAAGCCCAAGGACACACAAGATTCCCATATCTCACCCAGATAAAGGGGGGGGGGAGGGTCTTCCTACAAGGGAATGTCTTCAACACAGGCGCCCCTTTCCCACATGCACAGCTGAGGGGGAGTGTTCGGCGCGCAGAGCAGCTCCCAGAGAGAACGTGCCCCAATATGGAGGTGAGTTCTGGTGCCTAGGGCACTCACCCAACCTGGTCAACCATGAACTCCCACAGATGGGTTACAGACTCCCCCCCCCCCTTCGGGGATGCAGACCTAGCCCATCCTTGGCCAAAGGGGGGACAGCCCCTTAAAAGAGATGAGTCACCCACGGGGGAAGGAGGTGGAGAGCATACACACCAAGGGGGCCCAGCCGAGGACGCGGCTCCGGGGGATCAGCTTCACAGCAACCTGAGAGAGAAGGCGAGGAGCCCAGGGAGATGGTGGAGAAGCGAGGGAGGGAGTAGATCCGAGGGGAGGGGCGGGCGGGGGAG